GTTTCTGTTTTCAGATGCACTTATCATGAGTAGCTTTGATCAACGCTTTGTGCATTGAAAAAGTCTGTATGTTGAGAAGCTTGGGACTACAGTATGACCAGTTATTAAAGGTTTCTTCCATTATTATTATGTGTTTAGAAACTTTAGAAGTGACTCAGGAATTGACAGAGGATTTAATAATTCAGTCACATAATTAATATGCCAGTAACATTCAGGTCTTTCCTTTTGTTTTCAAAGGGCCTGAACTGTACAGGTCTGTTTGGGTCTGTTGAGACACTTCGGGGGAAAATACTTCTGTTTTAGGTCTGTTTGGGCTAAGCAAAGTTTTTTTTTCCAAAGGGCCCAAACTCAACTTGTCGACAAATCTGTTTGGGTTCACTTTCAAAAAGACTTCTGATTTTTAGTCTTTCAGGTTTCTGACATGCAAATAAAGGATTCTTGATTTGTTATATCCTAGTTTGTATCCCAAGAGACCTACGGGGTTTAAAAGTCTTTGGCCTGTTTAGCTTCCTGAGTACTTTTTCTCTTCTGATATTTATTGTATTTATTACTGCCCCTCTCTTGCCCCTTAATTGTTTAGTATCTTTGGAATAATATTATTGTCTTCTACCATGAATTTTGATGCAAAGAATTTATTCAACTTCTTTTCTATTTCCTAGTTTCCCATTATTATTTCTCTAAGGGGTCTCTGTTTTTACATTTTGAAAGAAGCTCTTGCTGCCCATCTTGATATTACTTGCAAATTTACCCTCAAACTTTATTTTCTCCCCATGTGTTTTTTGTTAATCCTGTGCTGGTTTTTAAAACTTTCCCAATCCTCTGGCTTAGCGCTAGTCCTTGCCACATTGTAGTTTTTATTCATGTTGATGCTATCCATAACTTCCCTGATTAACCATGGTTGACTAATCTGCTTCCTAGAATACTCCTTTCTCATATTTTGTTTTCTGCCTTTTTAACCTTCAGACGTTATCTGATTGACACTAGCTATTTGAGTTAGAATTCCTATTGCTCATGTAGATACAGCACGTAAAGAGACTAATCATTTTGAAAATTTTGTTGCATGTTCATCCTCCGTTTGAAGTTTTTTGCATCTTTTAGGGTTTTCATCTTTTCTGTGACTACACTCTTAGTATTGACATACACAGGTTTTTAAAGTAACAATCAATTTTTTAATGTACAAATTTCCCCGTGGCCTGTAAATGATGAAACTAAGGATCCAAATAGACATGAAATCTACTCTAACTCTGAGAAAAATAGCCTCGTTCTCTAAGTTCATGCACTGCTTGAGAACATTTTTTACTTCGTCAAGTCCAAATTTATTCTTCCAGCAACTTCCCATTCATTTTCTTTTTCCATATAGTTATACAAACCTCTTGGTGTACTGTAGTTTTATGTGCTACTTCTTACGGAATTGAATGGATTTGATTTTTTGTTTATTCCTTATAATATGTGGACAATGAGCTTGTTGCTGTAGGTAGAACGTAAATAACATAGGGGGAAGATTATGGGAGGAACTGATTTCAGGAAGAGGGCATGACCGGGTGCTCCAGTTTCCTCCCACAGTCCAAAGCTGTGCAGGCTAGGTGGATTGGCCATGCTAAACTGCCTGTAGTGTTCAGGGATGTGTAGTTTAGGTGGGTCAGGGTGGGATTATCCGAGGGTTGGTGTGGACTTGTTGGGCCGAAGGGCCTGTTTCCACACTGTAGGGATTTTATGAAATCTATGATAAATATTTTAGTTTGAAAGAAACAAATGAGGAATGGACCAAAATATTAATGTTGATGAGTAGAACTGTATAAAAATAAATGGAAAGCAGGCTAGAAAGAAACTAAATGATATCAAGGAAAGAGCTGAATGTTGTAAGAGAGATAGTGCAGATGCATGAACTGTAAAGCACAGCAGGAAAGAAAATGAAATTTACTGGTGTTTCTTGGCTTGCTGGAGATAGATTAGGCACAGTAAGAGGAATTTAAAGATGTTGACATCTAAAGGGAGAGAAGGAAATGAAGAAAATGGAATCTCTTGAAATACAAAATTTGGCGAAATTTTAACTAGCAGAAGCATGTGATGTAGGCAACTAGATTTGAAATTGCTGCAGTACGATGTACAAGCACATGATCTAACAAGTGTGACCCAATAACGAACAGTAAGAACACTGTTTTCTGACTAGACAGCAAAAGCAACTTCAGGTATGGAAACTGCAGTCAGTCAGTCAGTACAGTATGAGGCCGTGTTGGGAAAAAGTAACAGCTGGGATGGCAAGGAAATGGGGTTGAGTGATGGTGCTTTGGGGAAACGAAGGGTGAGAAGAGTGATAGCTAGATCTGCAGTTTAGTGGTATTGATCTACATCCTATTATATTACTCACTATTAAGTTCTACAGGATACGTAACTTGTAAAAGTTTGAGAGATTGATTTGTTCAATAAAAACATCAAATGCAATTAGGAGATAGTAAGAACTGCTGATGCTGGAGTCAGAGATAACACTCTATGGAGCTGGAAGAACACAGAAGGCCAGGCAGCATCAGAGGAGCAGGAAAGCTGATGTTTCAGGTCGGGACCCTTCTTCAGAAATGGGGGAGGGGGAAGGAGCTCTGAAATAAATAGAAAGAGGAAGGGTGGGGCTGGGGAAGGTAGGTGGGATGGCGATAGGTGAGTGCAGGTAGGCAGTGGTGGGGATTGGTCGGTGAGGTGGGAGGAGCAGATAAGTGGGAGAGAAGATGGACAGGTTGTGTCAGGTCAAGAAGACGGGGATAAGCGGGAGGGTTGGTCATGGGATGAGACCGAGGGTGGTGGATTTTGAAATTGGTAAAGTCCACATTGAGACTGTTAGGTTGTAGGATCCCAAGGCAGAATAAGAGGCGCTGCTCCTCCAGTTTCTGGGTGGTGTCATTGTGACACTGGAGGAGGCCCAGGATGGACATGTTGTCCATGGAGTTGGAGGGGATGTTGAAATGATTCGTGACTGGAAGATGTTGTTGTTTGTTGTGAATAGAGCACAGGTGCTGTACAAAGTGGTCTCTGAGCCTCTGCTTGGTCTCATCAATATAAAGGAGGTCACATCGGGAGCAGTGGATGCTCATTGGCAGATGTGCAGATGAACCTCTGTCTGATGTGAAAGGTTTTTTGGTGGTTCTTTGGATGGATGTGTAGGGGCAGGTGTAGCACTTCCTGCGGTTGCAGGGAAAGGTGCCGGGGGTGGTGGGGCTAGTGGGGAGTGTGGAGCGGACGAGGGAGTCGTGGAGAGAGCGGTCCCTACGGAAGGCAGATAGTGTGGGGAGGGAAATGTATCCTTTGTAGTGGGGCCAGATTGCAGGTAGTGGAAGTGGTGGAGAATGATATGTTGAATCTGGAGGTTAATGGGGTGATATGTGAGGACAAGGGGAATTTTGCTTTGTTTTTGTTGCGAAGGAGAGGATGAGAAGGCAGAGGTGTGGGAAACGCAAACAATGTGGTCAAGAGCATTTTTGACCACTGAAGGGGGGGAAGTTGCAGTCCTTGAAATAAAAGGACATTTGGGATGTTCGGAAGTGGAATGTCCCAACTTGGGAGCGGTCGTGGAGGAATTGGGAGTAGGGGATCAAATCCTTGCAGGAAGGTGGGTGAGACGGAGGTGTAATCTAGGTAGCTGTGGGAGTCAGTGGGCTTGAAATAGATATCAGTTTCGTGGTGGTCACCAGAGATGGAGACAGAGGTCCAGGAAGGAAAGAGAGGTATAAGAGATAGTCCAGGTGAACTTGAGGTTGGGTGAAAGGTGTTCATAAAGTAGGAATTCTGTTTGCTGCCATTCCATTAAAACTAAATTGCATGTGAGCCAGCTGGATGGCCAAAATTACTTTATGAACTAATTTGCACATGGACAAGTGGGACACTGAAAATATGTCCAGCTATGCTTTTTACAGTGTTGATAATGTGACTATCAACTCAAAAGCACTGAGATGAGTATTGTAATCCCACTGTGTATATAATGGATTTATGTAAATGCTTCCAGGAGTAACCAAAGTCAATTTAACCCCAAGGGTAGGGGAAACATCTAGAAACAATAGTTCGGGACAAAATCTGCAGTTACTTGGGTAATACGGTTTAATTAAGGAAAACTGGTATGGATTTGTTTGGGGGTTGGGGGGAAACATGTTTCACTAACTTTCTTGGAAATTTGTGGGCTAACAGGGTAGATAAGAGTAGTGACGTTGCTGTTGTTTGTTAAAAGGGCTTTCATATAGAGCTGCAGACCAGACTTATGAAAGAGAAGGAGAATAGCAACTGGCTACTGATCTGACTGAATAAAAACAAGCAAAGTAGTGAGGAACAGTGTTTTTCAGACTGGTGTAATGTTTATAGTTGGACCTCCCAGTGAACAGTACTAGAATTCTTGTCTTACACAGTGTATATTAATAATCTGGACTTGGAGGTATTCCTTCCTCAGTTTTCTGTTTGAAGGCAGGCCTGAACCACACTGCTGTGATCTCCTCCATGTATAGGGCAAGGAAACAGATCCTGAATCCACCACCCAGCTGAAATGGGGATGAAACCCTGTGCTGCTGACACCAATCTAATCTCTGCTGAAGATTGTTCAGTCAAGTGAGCTAAATAACTACTGAAGGGATGAATGGCCTCCTGTGCAGTTAGCATTTGTGGTTCTATGATTACCTGGGGACAATTATGCAAGCGGGAAGGATGGAATACATAAGCTCTAAAATTGAACCAATGAGCGAGAATTTGGTGGAACTTCAACCTTGGATGTTTGTTTTGGAAAGCTTTGCGTGTTTTTATTAATTTGTAAAGTTCCCAAAATGCATATGGTTAAGTGCATAATTTTTTTCTTTTATAGTGACTGAAATGTATATTTAGAGTTATTGTGTTTTCTCTTCAGAAGCACGATGTTTTTCACTTGATCTTGTAAGTAAGAAGTATTTGAAGTTCTGACAAGTCAGCTGAACAGCCTCAAATACAACTATCTCCATATTTATGCAGTACTAAAGGGTCTGTTTCTTCCACAGAGAAGATGATGAGGGTTCAGAGCTGCGTTCAGAACTTAGCCACAGCCAACAGGAGGCAAATGATGATGCTCGAAGTATAGATCAGGATCAAACCTCTGCGTCTGTGCCTGAGAACCAGTCAATGATGGTCTCTGCAGATATAGGTACAGTATTGACCGTACCTTAAAGTGCTTTATTCCAGAGGTTCCCAAATTTCACTCATTGTGCACACTTTTAGATTTAACAGCAATTAATTATCCCGCCTGCGTATAGATTTAATATTTTGATCCCTTTCATGCCAAAGAATTGTACAAAATGCACAATTTCCAACATGCATAAACAGCAAATTGCTTTAATAACATTATTCTATTAATGTGACAGATGAGATTGTTTGATAATGAATGCGTAAAGTCAGGAATAAAAGATTGCTTGAGTGGCAAGTTATCTTTAGAGTCGTGAATTGCTCTATAAATTGTACATTGAAATATAACAACAGATTTTAGTGTACTCCACATTGGGCAAACAAAACTTCATATATCCTAACCATCACCAACACCTAATGTTTACACCTGTGCAACATTGCCACCATTCTGTTGAAAATCTGAAAGACTCAATAATTCTGATGCACTCCTATCTTCCACAGCAACCTGTAATATATTTTGCAATGTTGCATTTGCCCATCACTGACACACGTTGTCCTCTGTCAAAACAATCTTAAATTTTGAATTACTCATTCTTATCAAATTCCTTGATGGCCTCACTACATCTATTTTTGCAAGTTTCTAAGTCATGCATAACTTTTCATTGTGTCCTTCTGTGCTCTGAGTCTTTATTTTTAAATTCCTCTTTACTTCAGCAGTGTAGATCCTTTGGTGGCATAAGCTTCCTCATGAAAGTGAAAATCCACTGGAAATCTCACAAACAAATGAGTAAAAAAAAGTTAAGTCCACCATTATGCAATTTCTCCTGTAGACTTCCTCCCTGGAGTACTCTTACCACTGTTGCATTTAGCATAAGAAAAATGAGCTCTAAATGGCTATATTTTAAAATTAAGCCAAAGCAAACTACTGAAATGCTGTGTGTTTTGATTTGGATAAATGGTATTGCATCATGGTAAAACAAACAAGGGCAGGACTTATACAGTTCATGGTACGACCCTAGATAGTGTTGTTGAACAGAGAGACCTAAGAGTTCAGATACATAGTTATTTGAAAATTTTGTCATAGGTAGATGGGGGTAGTTAAGAGCGTGTTTAGCACACTTGGTTTCATTGCTCAGACCATTGAGTATAGAAGTTGTGAGGATGTTTGTGAGTCCACTTTTGGAGTACTGTGTACAGTTCTGGTCACCCTGCTTTATGAAGGATGTTATTAAATTGGAGAGGGTTCAGAAAAGATTTACCAGAATGTTGCCAGGACTGGAGGGTTTGGGTTATAGGGAGAGGCTGTGTAGGCTGGGACATTTTAGCTGGAGTAGAGGAGGTTGAAGGGTGACCTTACAGAGGTTTATAAAATTGTGAGGGGTATAGATAAGGTGAATAGCAAAGGTCTTTTCCCCGAGGGGGCATATTTTTGAGGTGAGAGGAAAAATATTTAAAAGGGACCTGATGGGCAACTTTTTCACAGGCTGTTTCGTATGTGGAATGAGCTGCCAGACAAAGTGGTAGATACAGGTACATTTACAATGTTTAAAAGATATTTGAATAGGTACATGACTAGGAAAGGTTTTGGACAGATCTGGACCAAACACATACAAATGGGACTGGTTTGGTTTGGGAAACTTGGTTGGCATTGACTATTTGGACTGAAGCATCTGTTTCTGTGCTGTATGACTCTGACTTTGCTGTGAATACTTGAAATCTGCAATAAAAACACAACTGTTCCAAACCCCCTCAGGTCAGACTGTGTCTGTTCTGATGAAAGGACATTGACCTAAAATATTAACTTTCTTTGAATACTGCCTGATTTGAGTGTTTTCATGATTTCCTGTTTGTATGTCATTTTTTCATTCTGTTGTATGGTCCATTGGAACATTCAGACATAAGCACAGATGCAAGGTAGAGTGGAAAGCACAAGAGATAAATGACAAAAATAATGGTGCAAGGCAAAAGAAAACTAATTGGAAAATAACAGTAAGGATGCCTGCTAATGAGGTGTAAAAGGGAAAGAGCAGAATCACCAGTATTTGCCGCCTTAAAAACAAATTGACAATGGCAATATTGTTAAAATCATTGACTGTCAGTATTGTTTGCTCCTGTTACCACAAACTTATTATTTTGAGTGAAAGTTCAATGCTGTTTCCAAAGAGCGAGGGACACTGCAACATGAGGAATTGGAATTGTGGATCTCTGCCACACCATACAGCTTGCAGTTCCAAATCAGTCAGAATTAATCGTGGTCTAGAGGCAGCACAAACTATGTTATCAGTTTCCATCCTTCATTTACGTTCACATGGTCCTTTTCTCCCTGCCTTTACTTCTCTGACTCCATTTCAGGAAATAGGCTATTTGGGTTCAGGTAAGCCATTCAAGAGGGCATTCGATGATTACTTGGATAGAAATAGTGTACAAGGGTGTGGAAGAAAAAAAAACACAAGCACTGTGGAGATTAGCACCAGGTAATTCTGCTTGTTTGAAGAGCTGGTGTATTAGCCTCCTTCTGTGGCCATATCAGTTCTGTCAATCTATTGCCTTTATATCCATTATAACTCAAATGATTTCCACACTTACGTATCCTCTTTGTCTCAGTTTCTCTGTCTCATATCAGCTACCATATTGGTTCTGCTGACAGGTCAGCTATACCATAACTGACAAGAATCTTGACTGCACCCCACTTCCTGCTTTTCTGTTCTTAGTTTATTCCCTACTTTCCACCACACCATTCCCAGACCAATGAAAGGGTTCTTGTCTACTGGAGTTTAACTACCACTGTACATGTTGAAGAAATCATTCTCTGCCATTTCCATTACCTCCAGCATGATGCAAGCACCAAATCTTCATTTCCTTCAAGTTCATTGATGCATGTATATCAGAAAATACAATGTGTCCATTTTTTTTAACTCTGTAAAATCCAGGTGAAGTAATTGGAAGTTTCCTGTTTGATTCAACTCTTGTACAATGTGAATTAAAATTAAGGTCATGCAACCTTTTTGATCTTAAAACACCTGATGTTTAGACTATTTGGCGTAGGAGCAGAAATAGCTCATTTAGCGCATTGAGCCTGCTCTGCCATTCAGTGAGATCATGGCTGACCTGATATTCCTCAACTTAATTCTCTGACTCATTGAAAATCGGCTTCAGCCATGAATGTACTTAAGGACCTAGCCTCGACAGCCCTCTGCGATTAAAGAAATACCGATTCACTACCCTCGGAAGAAATTACTCCTTGACTCTGTCTTAAATGTGCAGTTCCTTATTCGGAGATTATGCCATCTAGTCCTAGACCCTTGTACAAGAGGAAACAATCTTTCTCATTTGCCCTGGCAAGTACCCTAAGAACCATGCATGTTTCAAGAAGGTTGCCTCTCATTCTTCTTAATTCCAGTGAGTGCAGGCCAACCTACTCAACCTTTTCTCAATGAGGCAGTCACTCCATACCTGATATCAGACTAGTGAATCTTTGCTGGATTGCCTCCAATGTCAGTATATCTTTCATTAAATAGGAGCACAAAACTGTTCACATTATTCTAGCTGTGGTCTGACTGTGCCTTATGTAGTTTTAGCAAAACCAACCACTTTTCTATTCCATTCCCTTTGAAATAAAGGCCAGCATTCCATTTGCCTTCCCTTTTGCCTGCTGAACTTGGATGCTAGGTTTTTGTAACTGATGGACAAGGACTCCAAAATCTTCTGTTCTGCTGCATTCTCCATTTAAATAATATTCACCTCCTCTATTCTTCCTAGAAAAATGCACACATTATCCTATCTGCCAGGTTTTTACCTACTCACTTAGTCTGTCTATATCCCCCTACAGATTCTGTGCCATCCTCACCACTTGGCTTGCTACATTTTTTTTGCGCCATCAATCACAAACCTGGCTATGATATATTCACCTTCGTCCTCGAAGTCATTAATATATATTGTAAATAATTGTGGCTCAGCACTGATCCTTGTGTCACTCCACTAGTTGCAAGTTGCCATCCTGAAAGTGCTCTCTTATCTCAACTCTATCTTCTATTGATCAGCTAGTCCTCTATCCATACCGATATGCTATCTCCAATATCATGGTCTCTTATTTCATTACGTAGCCCAATATGTGGTACCTTATCAAATGCCTTTTGAAAACTCAAATACATTGCATCCCCTGCTGCCCTATCCTGTTTACCACCACAAAGAATTCTAATAATTCCTGAAATAATGCTGACTTTGCTCGATCCTATTATATATTTCCAAATATTCTGCTGTTGCATCTTTTATAATAGGTCTTTAGCTGCAGAAATTTCCATAACATTTTTTCTGTAGTGACGGTAATTGCATTTGTTTTCTTGTTTCCCTTGATTTATTTGGTAATTTTGGAAAGCTATTAGTATATTCTACACTGAAGACTAGTAAGCAAACTATTTATTCAATTCCTCTGACTATACAACAGTAAAACACCAAGGTGCAACAGATATAACATCTAGTTCACACTCAATCACATCTCTCCTGGTTGAATAACTTGGTGTCCTATTCTCTCTAGAAGTGTATATCCTTGTCTGATCCAAATCTGAACCTGAAATTACAATCATGAGCTAAACTTGGAAAATTGGATGCTAACAGCACACCAGCTGTTGAGTGCATAAAATTCCACCTGCCGTGGTATGATTTGAACCCAGGTTGCCAGAACGTTACCTGGGTCTTTGGATTACTTGTCTAGTGATAATACCACAAGACCATTGCCTCCTTTCTTCTTATTTCATGTTCAAATTCTAGTCACAGCTTCAAAAATACCAACAGAATTTCATGCAAACTATCAGCAGTAATCATGAACTGAACATTTATACTTTTTTTTGGTGCTAGATAACTGTAGTGACCTCAACTCGGAGCTCCAGAGGGTATTGACTGGGCTGGAGAATGTAGTCTGTGGAAGGAAGAAGAGCAGTTGCAGTCTTTCAGTGGCAGAAGTGGACAGACACATTGAACAACTAACCACTGCCAGTGAACACTGTGACCTAGCTATAAAGGTAATCATTTATGTGATTCGACGATATTTTGGCCATGAATTTAATTTTGCCTGCTTTCATGCTGCCACCATAACTTTTCCATTGAACATTAGCTGAGCAAAACCAGCTTCGAGCAAATATTGAGCTTTGTCTTATTCACCATTAATTGCCTTACTCTTTAGGCAGACAGAAGAGATTGTTTATTATATCACACCTCAGAGCAAAAATTAATGATAGCTGAAATTATTTATGTTCAACTATTCCACTGACTAAATGGAACAAATTAAAAGCAGTTTAACTTGTGAGAAGGAGGAACAATATGGATTGATTAGCAAGAAAAAGACTACTAACAACAACCAGCCAAGTAAAATGACAAAATTTAACGATGTTAATCTGGCAATTTGATCTCCCTTTGATGTCTTGCATGTGCAGAACAAGCCATTCCTACCTGGGCATGGAAAATAAGAGCAATTTTTGAAATGTTTGCTTTACTTCAGATACCTGTAACTTGTAGACCGCATCAGGCATTGAGATAGCTCCTCATGTTGATCACACATGGTCTTAGTGTTCTTGGTACACAATATCTTAAAAACCTTCTTGCCTCCGTTGTACCGTACATAATTATTTGAGCATGTAAACTTTGCTAGTGTGTATCCCTGTGATGGTTCTGTAATTATGCCAAAGATCTGTCTTCTGGATCTGCAGCAAATATTCCATTCTCTGTCAGTGCTATGAAAACCAAATTGATTGGTCATTCAGTCCCATTGTTTTTGTTGTATTAGCCAATCTCGTAAAGTCAGTGACTCAAATTTCTGTGTGTAATGAGTTTATTCTGCTGCAAGATTTTTGAGAACTTCGTGAAAAATGTAATAAAGTGCTGAGTTTTTTAATAGCATGTTTTCAGAGGTTAGCTGAGAGTTTTGGGCTAGACTGCATTCACCGTATAAATTTTTCCGTCTGTTCGTAGATTAACGTTGGAATTCCCAGTCTGCTTGCGGCAGCATCTTTCTTTCTGAACTAGGCAGTAGGTTTCACACCCCACTCCAGAGCCTGAGCATGTAACCTTAACTGACATTTGTGCCTTAATAAGGTACCAGTGAATTGCCAGAAATGTTATCTTTCAGATTTGAGATGAACTGATCTGCAGGTGGATTTGAAAGGTCTATTGAAGGAGAAGCAGGGATTTCCCCAGTCAACTTTCATCCTGATCCCCCAAATAAATTTGATTTTTATGTAGTTACTCGAAAAAAAAATTGGTAACATTAAAACAACTGTGCTATAATAATGAAGTACATTTCATTTGTACTTGTATTTAACATTATTAACAGACTGTCGAGGAGATTGAGGGTGTACTGGGACGTGACTTCTATCCAACCCTTTCTGAAGAGAGATCTCGATGGGAGAAGGAGTTAGCTGCACTTCGGGAAGAAAACGAAAGCCTCACGGCAATGCTGTGTAGCAAAGAGGATGACCTGAACAGGACAAAGGCAACTATGAATGCTATTCGTGAAGAAAGAGATCGGTTGCGTAGGAGGGCAAGTATATCTGCTCTAACAAATTTTACAATAGGGTGAACAAGTAATATATAAACTTTCATATAACGTGAAACATTTATGAGCCCTTCCAAAAGTTCCAACCCAACCCCAACAAACACAAACTGCACTACATACAAAAGACCAGCACAAACATTCCAAATCTTCTGTTCATCTAAATGCTTAACCTCGTGTTGCCCATTGTTATCACAGTACTTTCTCATTTATACCAGTGCATTCCAATCCCTTTTTTTTTCAGTAATGATAAATAAATAGTATTTCTGTTCACTTCTTTATACCTGGATTTTCTTGCTGATCTATTTTTCTTTTTCTCAACTCTTCTAAGTTTTTGATGATTCAGATGAATATCAAATATATTGGGAATTAATTAGTAATTTACACACCTGGCACAGTGAGCAGGGCTCCCATTTTCCCAAATGTCCTTTTCATTGATATCAATTGTTAAGAAAATCAGATTGAGTTGAAAACCAGCAGTCATCATGATGCAAAGGTTTATTGCCCTCTGTTCGCATGTCGTATGTAGGCCAGACCAGATAGACGTTTCTTGCTGGGTTGATTTAATCTCAAAGTCCTTTTTTTTTTGGAAGCCTATATCTGAGTTTATTTCCTGTTCTTTAAATTTTTTTGGGGGGGTGGAAATGTTGTGCATAATGCTCTTGCATGTGTGATTATTTCAGATAGGTTGTAATTTAATGGCTGAAATTTAAGCGCTTTTAAATTTTCTTCTTACTGTTCCTTGTAAATTATTCTATCTCTCTGTCTTTCTATGGTTTATTATGTACATTCTGGATATTGTAGTCTCATCAATGAGTAGGGTAACAACTACGTGGATGTATGTGGATCATTGGACTCTTATTTGGTTGCATTGCATTTCATACTCAAATGACTGTCCTAGTTCCTGGTGCCTTGTCCCACCTCTATGAAAAAAGTACCGTTCATTTACAGGTTTGCTTTTGAAAATGCCAGATATGTGAACCTTTCTTTTGCAGCACTGCTGCAGTGACTCATTTAAATAATGCAACACTGGCAGTGCATTGTCTCTTCCTTCATGGGAAGTGAGCATCATCATTGACTGCCTGTTTGCATATCCCTTCCTGGAGAAGATAGTGGTGAGCTGTAGTCTTGAACTGCTACAGTCTGTGTGGCTACAGTGCTGTGTTAGGGTTATGAAAGTACCAAGCAGCTTCATGCTTAGGAACTTGAAAATATAAACTTCATATTTCCTCTGCACACCTTAACCACCACTGGGATGTGGTAAACTAACAATAAGACTTTTGTATCAGAGATAGTAGGAACTGCAGATGCTGGAAAATCTGAGACAACAAAGTGCAGAGCTGGATGAACACATTACTGCTTCTATGATGCTGCTTGGCCTGCTGTGTTCATCCAGCTCTGCACCTTGTTGTCTCTAACAAGACCTTTGTGAAGCATGACCCTGAGAATTATTTGCCAATCTCACCTAGATATTTTCATTACTTTCCTCCCCATGTTAACTGACACAGCTAGCAGTTCTCTCACTTCAGGCAACATCTTGCTATGTCTGATGTCATTACCTCTCTTGAATAAACAAACACCTGACCCAATTATCCTTGCCCTTAAATGTGTTGTTGCTTCCAGCATCCATTGTCATCTTTCTTGCAATTCCAAGTTTAATGCCCTCCAGTCAGATTTCTGGATTCCATTATCGAAATTGCACTCATCAAGGTCACGGGTATCATCCTATGCAAAGTTGACAAAAAGTCCATTTGTAGCCTTTCGTATGACTGACCACACCAAATCAACATCGCTGTGCAATTGTTGGCTGTGTAGCATTGCACTTTTATTCTAATTTATTTGTTGCTGGATAGATTTTTCGATGGCTCCTCTTCCCACTTCTTCACTACTTCACTTCTCTTGACTCAACCTCTGATAGCTGAGGTATTAGGTTGCTTGTCTGGCATCCAATACTAGATGAACAGGGGTTTCCTCTGATTAAACATTGGGAAGATTGAAGCCATTGCTTCAAGCTCAGTTATATGGCTACTTATATTGCACCTTTTCCTCGCATGTCTGAGACTGAAACAGACTTAACAAACTGAAACATTTGACTCCGAGTTGAGCTCGTGACCATGTATCTGTGCCTTGTTTAAAACCCTCTGTTTTCATCTTTGTGATATCACACAACTTTGCCCTGCCACAAATCCTCATCTATGTCACCTCTCGACTTAAGAAATTCAGTGTACTCTTGGCTGTCTTCTCATGCACTACCCTCTTAAATTCATCCAAAGCTCTGCCATCTCTAGACTTGTTCATGCCAACTCAAGCTTACCCATCATCCCTCTGCTCACTGACATATGCTGGCTCCAAATTGGAGCTCTGTTGGGCGACTGTGGGGGAGGAGCAGAGGGGTGAGCGACAATAATGGAGCTTGCAGTTAAAAGCATGAGGAGTGGAGCCCAGATCGAGTTCAGCTGAAGCAGCAATGGGAGAGGAGCAGGTGGAACCTTCACCGAATCTGGAGCCACAGGTCCTATAGTGATGTCATGGTTCATTAAGGGAAAGAGACCTACCATCACCACTGCCGATGCAATTCCGCCCACCGCCGACGCCGACGTCGCTCTGCCTATCGCCTCCACAGCCAGCAGCTCCAGAGGAGACAGCAGCACCCAGCCCTGCCGAGTCTTCACCATCCCCCCAGACTTTCCCCTTACTGAGGACGAACGGTCAGTCCTCAGTAAAGGGCTCACCTTTGTCCCCTTCCACCCATACATCAATGAATACCAGTCACGTTTGGACATTGAGCAGTTTTTCCTCCACCTCCGTGCTTACGTCTTCAACCGTGAACCTAACCCTCCCTCTACTGACCCCTCTCCCGCCTCCAACACACTCCTTCCTCCTGGACACCACCCCAAGGCCTCCTACCCTCCCTCGACCTCTTCATCTCCAACTGCCGTCGAGACATCAATCGCCTCAACCTCTCCACCCCTCTCACCCACTCCAACCTCTTCCCCCACAGAACGTGCAGCCCTCCGCTCCAATCCCAACCTCACCATAAAACCCACGGACAAGGGAGGCACTGTTGTAGTATGGCGCACTGACCTCTACTTCATCGAGGCCAGGTGCCAACTCTCTGACACCACCTCCTACCGCCCCCTTGATCATGACCCCACCCCTGACCACCAAACCATCATCTCCCAAACCATCCACAACCTCATCACCTCAGGTGACCTCCAACCTCATCGTTCCCCAACCCCGCACCGCCCGCTTCTATCTCCTTGCCAAAATCCACAAACCTGACTGCCCTGGTCGACCCATTGTCTCCACCTGCTCCTGCCCCACCGAACTTATCTCCACCTATCTGCACTCCATTTTCTCCCCCTTAGTCCAGGAACTCCCTCCCTACATCCGTGACACCACCCACGCCCTCCAGAACTTCCAATTTCCTGGTCCCCAACACCTCATCTTTACCATGGATGTCCAGTCCCTATACACCTGCATTCCCCATACAGATGGCCTAAAGGCCCTCTGCTTCTACCTGTCCCACAGGCCCGACCAGTCCCCCTCCACTGACACCCTCATCAGCTTAGCTGAACTCGTCCTCACCCTCAACGACTTCTCTTTCAATTCCTCCCACTTCCTACAGACAAAGGGGGTGGCCATGGGTACCCGCATGGGCCCAAGCTATGCCTGCCTCTTTGTAGGTTACGTGGAACAATCCCTGTTCCGTACCTGCACTGGCCCATACCCCACCTCTTCCTCCGTTACATTGATGACTGTATCGGCACCGCCTCGTGCTCCCATGCGGAGCTTGAACAGTTCCACTTCACCAACACCTTCCACCCTAACCTTAAGTTCACCTGGACCATCTCTAATACCGCTCTCCCCTTCCTGGACCTCTCTGTCTCCATCTCTGGCAACCACCTAGAAACTGATATCCATTTCAAGCCCACCGACTCCCACAGCTACCTAGAATTCACCACCTCCCACCCACCTTCCTGCAAAAATGCCAAACCCTATTCCCAATTCCTTCGCCTCCGCCGCATCTGCTCCCAGGATGAGGCATTCCACTCCCGTACATCTCAGATGCCCTTGTTTTTCAAGGACCACAACCCCCCCCGCCCGTGGTCGAGAACGCCCTCGATTGCGTTTCCCGCAACTCATCCCTCACACCCCCTCCCCGCAATAACAACCAAAGCAGAATCCCTCGTCCTCACGTACCACCCCACCAACCTCCGGATCCAACGCATCATCCTCCGACACTTCTGCCATCTGCAATCCGACCCCACCACCAAAGACATTTTTCCTTCCCCACCCTTATCTGCTTTCCGGAGGGACCACTCTCTCAGTGACTCCCTTGTTCGCTGCACACTCCCCTCCAGCCCCACCATACCCGGCACTTTTTTCCT